ATAGAAAATGGCGAGTGCTTTTATACAGTTCAATTTTTTACAAGTTTTTGCTGGATAATCTGGCAAATAATTTGTCAAGCAAGTTTGGATTCGACGCTCGTGTATATAAAAAATATCTATTTTTTACATAAGGATTATAGTTCATGCATACATATGTGTGCGTGTAAAAATTAAAAATATTAATACAATTATTTGTATTAAAGGTATTATTATGCAATAATACATTTATTTATGTTACGTTGATAGAGCACGAGCATAGGCGACACTATATATCATATGGATTGGCTATTGCTATCAATCAGAGAGAAAAAAAGATTGCTCATGATCATGATGCGTAGCACTATTCCTATAAAGTTCACGAGCAGCTTCTTGATAACTCTATCCGTTCAGTCTTACAGTAACGTTAGTATTATTATTACGTTGGTGTCAAAATAAATACTTGACATATTCATACGTTGTTTGTGATATTATCAATATTTGTCGCGGTACGAAAATACAATTGAAATTTTCATAAATGCCTTATCTTCTATATTAAGGTTTTTTCTAATTTTTCTTTCAGATCCTAAAAACATCTTATTCAATATTTAACGTGTTACAAAAGTGAAATATAAATAATGATGTAGTTTTGGATAAATTATAAATTCTAAATCTTATAACTTTTGTTTCCACACATTTTTTCACTTCAGCCTTATTCTCTGTTCCGATTATTCAAACACTGATGCAAGCAGATAATATGCACGCACGCACACATAAATGTAAATGTAACTACATGCAACACAATGTAATAGGTATAATACATATAACAATTTATTTTTATATTTAAGCAGAAATAGAGCGTCAAAGACATGAAAAATAGACATGAAAAATATAATGTCTTCTTATAAGTTACCTGCGACACTCTTTTGCGGTCGTACCAGAAATAATCCAGTCTTCTACCTCACTCGTCATACTTGGCGAGCGGATGTGTGACAGTTAACTTGGAAAGTATTTAAACACTTTATACGTTACTTCATCTGCAGAATGATTGGTAAGTAATAAGACAATCAAGTATATAGAATATTCATTTGCATCGCAAAATGAAGAAAAAATAATGATAACGGAACCTACATATCATCATCTCAGCATTTGCAAGTTAGTGGGATGACATTTCCTTTTTATGCTCTTAATAATAAATATCTTTACATATATATGTATATTTATAATATTTATATAGTTATTTAACTGCATGAACTATTACAGATATGCTAAAACGGTAAACGTTACCTTCAGTCCAACACTCTTTATTCAGTTTTTTGTTAGTATGTTATCATTGTCAGTTATATGTAAAGATGAAATGAAATAGAAGTAACCTGATAATATGAAATATAAATTTTCTATAATTGAACGCGTATATTTTGGTATGATAGTTGAGTAGGTTTTTGTAAATTAATAACACTAAATCTTAAAATTTCTGTATTTTTCTTGAAAATTCTATATTTTGCGTATTTATTTCAACCTTACTCTTTATTTTAATTTTAAGGATATTAACGTGCTAACATAAACATTGCACATTTTGATTTGACGTACAAGCAACACTAATTTCGGCTTTAGCGTTAAAGTCAGAAAAGAATAATTTCTCAGGCTTTGCTACATGTGATATACTGATATGAGTATAGAATTAATACATGGTAGTTCCCCTGTACACTCGTCATTCCTCGCAGATATACAAGCAACTTGAGAAATATGCTCTGACACTGAGTATATTATGCATCACGTTCTTATTGCTGCACTCGTCTTGTATTTTTAATGTAATAAAACGGGAAACTGTATACGGAAGGTACGATATTCTTCGTAGTTCCGATAGACAGGAGACATACAAATATTTTATTCAACGGAAATATGACAACGTGCGTGAAAGGAAAACATCCCTCGATAATTGCAAGTAGGAAAACTTTTATAATTGTAGTATTCGCAAGAACGGAAAAGAACGTGCACTCCATAATAAATGATGAAATGACTTAATGTCGATTTTTTAATGGCCGTAATTGTAGTAGTGTTGACAAGATGTTGAAGAGGGTAAAACTATACATAGTCTGTCGTAAGACGTGCTCGGTTACTTAAGTGAAATTTATTGATCATTACGATAATAAAATAACATGTTGTATCAGTGTACTTGTTTTATAATTCTGTTGCATTATTAGCCAATTCTGAGCAGCTGATATTCCAAAATAAGGTATGCGATTATAAATGTTAACAAATATTGCTTTCTAGTTCACAAATTATATATTGCACTACGTTTAAATAAGGTTGTCCAGTTTTTAATTCGCGATAACATTGGACGCGATCTGTATTTTATACGTTAAACGTATAAAATTTTTTTTAATCGGATACATTTATGTATTTAGTGTTTGCAATTTAAATCAAGTTGTAGAATTTAATACTTTATGTAATCTATTTATAATATATTTTACCTTCTGTATCAAATTCAATTTTTCTGCAGACACTTTTCGCAATTCTATAAACTACTTTTTTTAGATACTTTACATGTGAAGGAAAAGATTCAAATATGCAAATACTTTCTTTAAATTTTTTAATATATACCATTGGTGGTATATGGCGACCCGTTGAATGGTCATCAAATGGTGCTAAGCTGCTGTATAGTATATTTACCTGCGGTGTAATATTTTCGGAATACTTTTTGATGTTAACGCAATTTTTGGATATATTACTTGTTGTCGACAATATCGATGATTTTACCGCTAATGCTCTAATGTTCTTGGCTATTGTTACCGATTGTTGTAAAGCGACGGTCGTTGTGATACGTCGGAATTCGATCATCAACATAGTGCAATCATTGTTGAAAGCACCACATAAACCTCGCAACGAGGATGAAGTAGCTATCCAAACGAAATTTGATAAGTTTATCAGGTGAGTTCGTATGTTTATTAAAACGTCCCAATATTAAATTATTAATGTTACCGACTTAAAATGTTTATGTAATGATTTATTACTATATATACGTCCAGCATGTATTATTTCCGTATCGCCCGAATTTGATCAGTATGATACTGATAACACAAATTCTGGACTATTTATTTTTTGCCTAATTTCGTTGATCACATATTTCCGAATTAGCATTTTCACATATAAAAAGACATGGTACAATTTTTTTTAAAAGGAGTTTCTTAAATATCATTTTAAATTAATTATTGAACATACAGGTCCAACCCATATAGAACTACAAAATAGTAGGGGAGAGTGGGGTAACTCTCTTCCAACTGCGAACATGAGGTAAACGCGAAGAATTACTATTGTAATATAATAGAGTAATGATGTTCTCCCGCTTCTCGCACCCTGCAGCGATATTAGCCGATATACGCTCAGTGGTACGAGAAGTGGGAGAATATCACTACTCTAATATAATATCGTTCAGTTTATCCCTTGTTCGCAGTTATCCCACTTTCTCCTATTTAAATTTTTTAAAGATAAATTTCTGTAAATTATAAGTACAAATAATGTGTGCGTTTATACAATTTAATATTGGTTCTATGTTTACAGAACGTTCTCGATAAGATACTCTTTTATGGCGATTATCGCCGTTGCAGGCACTACAATAGGATCAGTATTAAATGTTATGCAAGGTCATATACCTTATCGAATATGGCTGCCATGGGATTATAATATACCTCTAGTGTTCTGGATTATATCCATTCATCAAATTATATCTTTATTTTTTGGCACAGTAATAGGTACCGGCACGGATGCTCTAATCCTCGGATTGTCTTTGCAAACGTGCGCCCAACTTGAAATTTTCGAAAGTCGTCTTCACAAATTTATAATTAATAAAACAGTTAGAGATCTGGGACATACACTTTCAACGTCGAATAAGAACGAAGTGGGGATATCGGAATGCGTAGATTATCATCTCAGCATTTACAAGTGAGTCACGTAA